GGTGTTCAGTGGGGTTGAGGTCAGGGCTCTGTGCAGGACACTCGAGTTCTTCCACTCCAACCTTCACACACCATGTCTTCATGGAGCTCGCTTTGTGCACAGGAGCATCGTCATGCTGGAACTTAGCTCCAGTGAAGGGAAATTGTAATGCTGCAGCACACAAAGACATTCTAAATAATTGTGTGCTTCAGATTTTGTGACAACAGTTTGGGGAAGAAACACATATAAGTGTGATGGTCGGGGGTGCACATACTTTTGTCCATATGGTGTAACACTCAGTGCACTGTGCTCTCTTCTTACCTGCGGGCTCTGGTAATATTCACAGAGCAGCGAATAAGGCAGCGTGCAGAGTGAGGAGAACAGGATTCCATAGGTGACACAAAGAGGCAGCACCACGTACAGGTTGGTGGAGAGCGTGGCCAGACCTGTGCCCAAGCCGAACGCCAGGTAGGCGAAGAAATACAAAGAGCGCAGAGAGAATCGTTCCTCCAGCTTCTCCAGGATGGCTGAGGAACACACGTACATTACAAGGAGAAAATTCACCATGTTGGTGTGCTCATGTTCCTGAGTACTGACCTGAGTAGAAAGCAGCACTAAATGCGTAGATGCACATGCCCCAGCAGCCCATGCTGACCCCGGCATTGTAACGCTGGTAGGCCTCAGACTTGTCCGGTGCCTTGGGGTTGCCCCCAAACACCACCTCGCCCATGAAGTCCGTGTAGAAAAGCAACATGCCTTCGAAGGACAGCCAGCCTGCAGAAAACACACAATGATATTTCTGAGTCTCAATGAATCCTGGCTAAATGGTTCACTGCTTGGGCTTACCCAGGAAGTGGTTGGTGCACAGGCTGCGCAGGGACGGGGGCATCCTGTAGATGGCGATACACAGCAGCTTCAGAGACATCTGAGTGTCTATAACCTCTGCGTTGTCACTGAGCTTACTGTCATATTGCACCCCATTTAGGAGGATGTTGGCAACCTGGAGAGGAATAGCGTATTGCAGTAATAATAATGTATAATAATATAAAACAAAAAAATTCCCATTGCAAAATTATTCTTTAATACAGATTTACAACTATCTGACCAGTAAATCCGGCATGATGACTGCTGTTCATGCTGTTGTAAAGTGTGCTGGGTAGAAAATTAAAAGATGCAGCACAAAAAAAGTCACATGATTGACTGGACTCTTTCTGGCTGGTGTTAGAATCTTGCTTGTTTCATGCATCTTTTATCTGAATTGATTGCTAATGATATTTTAATGACGTTTATTTCCATCTGCAGTTAAATCTTTCTACTTTGCGCCAGATTTTCAGTTCTATTTTTTTATTGATTAAAGAACATTATACTGTTTATCCATGAATAGTTACAATTCTATGTTGTAACACCTGCAAAACAATTTAGTCCCTTATATTCTTGCAGCTATAAACAGTTGTTTGCTCACCAGCCTCTCTTAGAAATACCCTTAAAATTTCAAACATGAAGGAAGCTACTGAAAAAAAAATTATTTTAGACATCTGACATTACTGTGATCTTGATCCTGTTTGGATTGATAACAAAATCTAATCAGACCATCTGCTGTTTACGATGATAATTCCATATAAATCCTACAAACATTCAACAACCCGTTCTTGAGATAGATGTCGCGCTAACAAGAATCTTTGATGGAGTGATAGACAAACCGGAAACATAATGGCATAAAAAAACACAGAGAAACCACAAAGCATAAAGTCCTCTGTCCTGAAAACCTTCCTGTGTCAGAAAATATGAAGTTATAGGTTTAATTCTGACCCTTACAAAGTGCTGACACTGGGCACTGTTTCCATAAATGTTAAATAAATGTCTCCTTCACTATACCAATTAATATTCTTTTGTTTTCAATCCATTTATCATTAGTCTTAGATTATGTGGAGTGTCCACCATGTGTAATATGTTACTATAAAAATGATAAAGATAGGAAGACACCCTCAATGGGACACTTGTACTGTACACTGCAAGGATTGGATTTGGAAAAAAAAATGTGTAAATGTCTTGGTAGCTTTTACACCCGTGTTTCTTATGTGGATATACCTAATTGGTATGCATGAGATGACCAGGTATAAACAGAGTCAAAGCATTTCTTGAGAGCTGTTATGACAATACGTGTCTGCAGTAAATCTCTATTTAGCATTAGTCTCTAATTTTATAAAAAATAAAGGTAAATGCTTACAGCTAGAGTACAGACTAAAAGGCCATACCTTGTAGTGGTCCTCAACATTCTGCCATTAAAAACGCACTAAAGACTCACCTGCTGGCTGAAGGTAACAGTACGTCTACGTCCGTTCTCCAGAACGTTGCTGGGGCCGATCAGCGGCTCGTCCATTAAGGCCAGACTCTGAGGGCGTTTCAGGATCCCTGAGGTGATGCTTCCTCGTTTTAATCTGCCACCATCCTGCGGAGCCTCACTGAGCTCAGATGCTTCATTCAACTCCAAACATTCACTGGCTTGAACTTCATCAATAGCCTCTAATCTTTCCGCTTCCTGCAGATCTCCATTTGGTTGAGATAATTCCCTTTCCTGAGAGTTAGCAGCTGGAGACGGTGCCTCGACCAGCTGTGACACCTGAGCAGGAGGAGTTTCTCCCATAGGAAGGCATGGAGTCATGGTCTCAGGCTTCAACGGTTGGGGCATGTGCTGTCCGGTGTAACAGTCAATCAGCACGCTATCTATGTATGATGTTCCCAAGGATGAAGCAAACTCATTAATGTCTGTCAGAGTGTTGTCTCGGCTGATAAAGCTGCCATATTTGGGTGTCAGAGGGCTGAGAGGGGAGATGGGGCTGGTGAGACCTGCACAGAGCCTCGCATTGGCACTACACGAGTGTCCCAAACCATCCGGGTACCTACGGCCAGAGAACTGGTAGCTGTAAAGACCTTCCTCCTCCTCTTCCACCTCCTGAAGGGCTCCAGCGGTTGGAGGAGGAGAAGGTGGCAGAGGTAGGATAGGGCTCTTCAAATGTTTGGAGCTCCTTTTTTGAGACTGCAGAAGAAGACGCTCAGGGATGCTAGTAAGCGTCAGAGCTGTAGTGATTATAAGGGTTATGCTGGTGAACAGGTAGATGACTCGAAGCTGACCTCCCATCAACTTGCCAAACTCGGTGTGGTCCCAGTTCACCCCACCCACGATGTAACCGAATCCACCCCCCAGACCTGCACAGATTAAGTGAATAGTTTGCACAGTAGTAAAGTTGAATTATTTTTGAAGGAGCAGTTTGTAGTTTCAGAGTCGCCTGCTGCCTGTGATGTGAACTGCATTTGCAATGAAAAGCCTTTTGCTTTACCCCAACTAACCCCACCTTCTCTGTTAAAACTACATATACATAATGGGTTGCTTTTAAAGGAAACGTGGTAGAGGTGAGGAGATGTGTTCTGAGCTAATTTCCGGGCCTGAAAGATGTAAACAGAAGCCTGGATAGCAAAAAAATCACAAACTTGATCTATACTATGGCAATGTTGCAAAAGTATCTTTGTAGGAATTATATGCTTTTAAATGTCTAGAAACACTTAAACATTACAAACCACACCTTTAACAGTTGGTGGAACAGTGTAAAACGTACAGTGCATAACAGTGCATTCTATTGCTGTAATCTGCTCATAAACACTGAACTCTGACCTGCCAGAAGGGCATGGATGTTGAGGCCTCTGTCCTGGTCCTCTGGACTGCACACGTCCATCATGTAGGCGTGGCTGGGATTATCCGCCGAGTCAGCACTGAAGTCCATCAGAACCACTCCGCACACGGTCAGCACGATGCCCCACTTGTGATTAACAGCAGTGTCTGCCAACGTAGATCCGATGTCCCGCCCATTTAGCACCAGCGTTAAACCAAGCAGAGCACCTGGCCACACATAGAGTGGGTTATTCATGAAACAGAGTCTGAATCAATTAAACAGCCAGACGGAGGATAGACTGGAAATCTTAAAAGCATATTGACTGTAATTTGTGAACAGCATCTTTCTGTTGTTTATACATTTCCCTAGAGCCCCCTGTCCTGCATATCCCTGCTCCAACACTAACATGAGCAGGACATCGGGCTTTGCTGGACCAGGGTTGGGAACCTGAGCACTAAAGGATAAAAACAAGGAGATGGGTGGTGGTAACGATATTGTTGTTGCTAGATTTAGATGGGGATCTTTTGGACTTTTGGGAGAGGCTTCAGTTATGTAGTTTTGCTACATAATACACTGCTGTGGTAAAAGAGGAATAAAACACACGTGTCATGATGTGATAGTAAAATAATAAGTGATGAAGTTATTGTTACCACCTTTAAGTTTATTTTCCTGTAAAAGCCGTTCCGAAGTGTTTTACACATCTTATACCACAGGAATTGGCAATTTTTCAAAAAAGATTGACGTCATACTTTATATCCATTTATAGTTATAGTTAGATTTAGTGTTGTGGAATGTCAGGGTTCAAATTTACTTTATTGCAGCTATACGGTGATGACAAGGTAAGACTTCTTGTCTTTTATCTTCTTTTAGTGTGAAATCAGAGATATTTTACACACAAATTTAGCAATCAGACCTGACGCACAGAATATAAAAAAAAAATGTAAATATTTAAATAGTGCTCAAAAATTAAGGCTGGGCATTTTGGCCCTGTTCCATGGGTCCCTGGAGGACTAGAGGTTAGGCCACAGCGCTCTCACGGCTGCAGCCGGGGGTTCGAGTCCCAGCCAGGGAACCAACAGTGCACTCTTAGTGCTGGTCCCAAGCCCATATAAAATTGGGGAGGGTTGCATCTAGTGTAAAAACAGTGCCAAATCAAATACGTGGACCAGTGAGCCGCAGTGGTGACTCCTAACAGGAGCAGGCGAAAGTGGAACATTTTGTTCCTGTTCTATATCATTCACGCTCTCTCTTTTTTCACCAACACTCACCTCACCTACCCATGCTGAGTCACATGACCTGGCTATGATTCACTAATGCACAGCTTTAGATACAATCTAGAGCGGAAAAACGATGACTCAGTGTATTTTTAGGTGATATCACGGTGCTTACCGATGGCCAAGGCAAAGATAAAAGGCCTCCGGCGGCCAAAGCGTGACGTACACCGATCACTCCACGCTCCGAGGATCGGCTGAAGCAGGAACCCTGATGGTGACAAAAAAGAGAGGGTGGGATATAATGATGACTGATGTGTAATATTTTAATCTTGTTTTCTTAAATTGATTTGTTATTAGCAATATACATAACATTTTTTTTTTAACAAAAGGCACAAGAAGCCCATTGAATGATGAGTTTTTGAATTAAAAAAACACTGATTTTCTCAATTGATTTGAGAATTGAGCATAAAAGAATCCCTTTTTTTTTCTTATTTTAATTCTTATTTAATTTATTATTATTATTAATTTTAATTACATAAAAAAAAAAAAGAGTAGCCATATGGTCCTGAGGTACCTAATATGGGGCTGATGAACCACACGAGGCTGTAGAACTGATCGGGCAGATTCATCTGAAGGAGCAAGGGGGTGACGTAGGCCGTCTCCATGGCGTAGCTGAACTCGATGCCGAACAGGATGCAACCATTGAAGAGGAGCTCAGGAAAAGAGCGGCGTGGAGGCAGATCACTGAAGTCCAGCTGCTCCAGAGGGCAAGGCGTGTTGGGCGGAGGGGGCGGAGACGGGCGGATGAGCTTCCGTCGTTTCGGGTGCCTCTGGAAGCTGTTGGCCCGGTGGCTGAGGTGCCGTGTGGTGGACGTCGGGAAGCTGCAGGTTTTGGGAAGAGTCGGCCTGCATGTGTCACCTTGCCCCGTCCCGAAGCCATCTCGCCCTGGGCTGGCTAAGAGCGGGTCGCTGGGCGTGCCCATTCCGGGAGAGGACATCACGCTCTGGAGTTGTGCATACACTATCAAAAAAAATGGCATTCACAAATATTTTGTTCAGTCGTGAAATATCTTGTTTATTTATCACACATTCCACAATATCAAATGTAACTATAAACAGACAAAAGTACATGTCATTCTTTAGTTATTAATAAAATGTAATTGCTTGTGAACATTTGGGGATATGCTCTTATAGCAAAATAATCAACATCAGGGTGGTAACAGTAACGCCGCTTCATCACACCACCCCATCTTTGATTGTTTTCCTCTAACAGCATGACACTATGTTTTGTTCCTTACATATTTATTCACATGTTTAAATCTTTTAATCAAAATAATACTTTAATGGGATGAAAAACCAAACCAACAGCTCTAAAACTGGCATTAGACACTATTATTATTATTATTATTATTATTATTATTAGCAAACATACATGGCCTGTCAGGTCACAACTTAATGGCTAACTGTTTCTAGCTAAACTGGCTGTTAGCTAGTATGTTAATGTTATACAATGAACAGCATTGTTATGGATGTTTTAGATAGATATATTTTTGATAAAAGAGACAGATAAACATTAAGTGCAAAACCTGGACCTTCTCCATTTCACGGTTTTGTGTATGGTATATAGGAGGTGCACAGGATAAACCGGTTAGTAATAGTGTTTTGAAATACTCAACAAGATTCCTGCAGCACTCCAGATCGTTATATATCAAATAACCGATTATTGGGACATGCCTACTGAGCACTTTTCCAGCGCATGAGTGCACTGCCGGTGACATTGAGCTAAACAACCAGCAAAATATGCAGATGTGCAAATGTGCAGATGTGCATAACGACTTCACCACAATGAGGAAGCAGAGTGAAACAGAGCAACGGCAACCAAAATAAACACGCGGTAGAAAAATAAGCTGAGATGCAAAGAAGGCAGCCATTTCTATTAAAAAAAAAAAAAAAAAAAAAAAAAAAAAAAAAGACCCGATGAGGAGATCCTTGGAATCGGGAGCGCGCATCACTGCAGCCAATGCGCAGCCTGAGCGGGGTGCGCGCACTGCACGTGCTTACTCTCTCCTCCACACAAAAACATTAACCTCTCACTCACAGGGCGTTTTCTTTCATTTTCACTGGCTTCAGACTCAAATTTAGGTCATATATACTTATATTTGTATTTATTATTATTTTTATATTGTATTTACACATTATAAGAGCATCCAGGTCATCGCATCACATCGGTAACTGCAGTGTTTTGCGTTAATGTTCTTGAAAATATCTTTAAAGCGAGAATATCTGATACCAGGATAAGGAAAGATAAAGCATTAAAAAGCGTTACCTTGTCAGGGTTTCTGTTCATTTCCTCAACTGGACTGAGCGCGTTTTTATCAGTTTATTTCCTCTGGGTCTTTTTCCTTTGTGTTATCTTTGGTGCAGGCATTGCTCCTCTCTCTCTCTCTCTCTCTCTCTCTCCGTCTCTGATCCTCCCCTCATCTCTCCACCTCTGTTTCCCGGCTATCCCCGTCTAGGTCGTGGCGTCACATTTAGACCACGCCCACCCAAAGCTGCAGCATCAGCACCAGTGTGTATTACTGTAAAGGCAAGAGAATTGCGCCATCTATCTATCTATCTATCTATCTATCTATCTATCT